AGATGCTTATACCCAACAGTAATAGAGAGAAAACCCTAACAAAAATCAAAAACATCAATAACAATATACACATATTTAATATTATGGTACAGTTAGAGTACCATCTGAAAGCTCCAGACCCCTCTTCTATTTGGATTACAGTATCTACTGATATGTTTGCTTTTCTGGTAACACTTGTCCTACATTTTTTGATATATCTGTCTAAGTTACAGAACCTGTTCACTGTGATGGACCAGGGAAAATTTCGGGCTTTGAGACATCGGTGTTCAAACATTGCTTCAGAATGCAGTGTGTGAACTATATATGTTAAAACGTTACAGTATGAAATATTTATGTGAATCGGAGATGGTGAAGCTAGAAATGCTCTAAAAATTAGGATGGAATGACCTATATGTATATCTGCAAGTCCCGTTCTTGAGGTGAATGTTTAATTCAAGCATGAAAGATGATTTACAAACGCTTGCGACACGCGTTTTACTGCACCAATATTTAATATTGACAGAAGCATGTCTTATTTTATTGCGCTTGACATTAAAATAAACTGACTGTGTCTGTGTTTGGAAAACAACTTTTGCCCATCACTCATAAAATTAACCACGCCTATGAGCACTATTTGCGCTCACGTGCTACTTTTCTCCGTTTTGTAAATGTGGCCTTAAGAAGGCTAAAGTTGACACTGAGATCTGAGTGGATCTCAGTGTGGTGGGCATAGCCACGCTGCAGAGTTTAGCATTTTCAAGTGTTTTGCTAGCTGAATCCTGTCAGTTAGTAAAACTTCTCCAACAATAATGAGAACAAAACTATAAGTTAATGCAGAGCCATTAATTATTTTTCACTCTTATGTGACACAGACTAATTCCCTCTACTTTACTGTCAGTGTGAGCAAGCTCTTTTGTAGTCCACCTCCACTAAACAGAAGCTCTCTGAACGGAAGTTGCTGTTATCCACTTGGTATCGATTGCCTTTAGGGGGGGGGGAAATCAAGGCAGCTTAAAAAAAAATGGAAATAAAAGGTTCAGCATCAGTATCCCACCACACGATATTAACGTTGTAACAAAGAGACACTTTTAACTGTGCCTTCTCTTTGCTTGTTTGTTTAGTTTGCCGTTTTTGGACTGCAGCGCTTGTGCTGAGAAATCTAATGCAGTGAAATTGATTCTCATCCGCTGTCTCTTTTCTAGCACCACAAGAATATAATGTACATGCTGTTTTATCACTCAGACCTGTGAATCTTTTAATACAGGTTCAGTATCATCGCTCTAACCTTTAGTGGAGGAGGATGGATGATGAATCCAGCAGTGCAGAGAGAGCAGCACTGTGGGTGTTTCTGTCACTGATAGACTTTAATTATGCACCAGGAGCTGCTATAATAGGAGAAAACAGCATCCTTGATATAAAATAACTGTCATAATCAGTTTCTGTGCTTATAGAAACTTCAATACGGTCAAAACAAAGCTGATTGGATTCACGCTGATGCCACAAGGTTGAAGCTTTTATTAAAAAACAGAGTCCATATTTTGCCCCCTTTTCTTATTGACTTACAAATAAACCTCGCAATTGTTTCACAGTATCCTATATCAAATTTATGCAATGTTTTCATTAGAGCATTCGCACATGAACAACTGTATAATTTATGTGTGTTTCGTGGTAACATTTACATGTGTGTACACGAGTTTACAGTCTATGTGTGGCATGTATATTGAGGAGGAAGTCTCTTTTAACAGGCCTGTATAATCAGGCCTCTGGGGCAACATTATCACGTAAAAGCATACAAGCAGGTTTGAATATATGAATAAATAAGCAAAGAAGATGCTGTGTGTGTGTTTCAGAGAAAGAAACACATTAAAGCGACGTCATCTAAGGGAGGAAAATGGAAAGGAGACTGAAAGTGTCGCAGTGTGTGTGTGTGAAAGAGTTCTCCCACCTGACCTGCAGGGTCAGAAGGCTAATAGCAACACGGTAGTAAGTCGTGAGTGACTCATTCTCCACCTCTGGGCTTGAGTGGCATCCCTACAGTAATTTGCAATTATATTAAAAGCTGCGTCACGGCGCAGCAGGGGTGTTTCTTGTCTCATTTGAGGTGCTTTTCCAAATTCTGCTGAGAGAAACTGAGCCAGTGTTGATTTTGCATGTTTCAGGTATCTTTTCACACTGCTTGTTTTCTTCTTTTCTATTCTTTTTGGACCCTCTCTAAAGGTTTTTTTTTTGCCATTTATTTGTCTGTTTTATCATTCACTGGCTGTGATCTGTAGACTTTTCAACTGCTGGGACCAAACTCCAGGCCTAATGTGTGCATCATCAGACCCAGCTGCATTAACTGCTCCCATTTCGAGTGACCCCAGGCCCACCTTTGTCCACACCTTCTCATCCATGGAAAATTCAGACTGCTTTCTTTCCTGGGGCATCAGACACTGCTGTTTCATTAGAGCTGCTAGAGTCTCACTTCTACCCACAAGGAGTCCTTTCTGGCCTGGGAGTGACACGCTGGTTTATTGTAAGAGTGAATTGGAATATGGATATTGATACCTTCAGGGTGAAGAGTTAACGCTGTCAGCAGCATATTTTACTCAAAAGTTGGTGGGGCCTAAAGCTAACCAGTTAGTTTTTTGTGTCGGATGTTACATCCCAACCTCTCCCAAGCTGTGCATCTTAGGTGACATAATGAAGTAGATATAGAAGTATATACATCACTTATATTCACTTCCTAATGCATCGCTAAGAAGACTATCCTCATGCACCGGAATTCCAAAAAAAAAAAAAATGTATGTACTAGTCAATACAGAAATTTACTTCAGTCTGGAGAGAATGTCTTCCTCCTCAAAAAACCCAAATGGATAAATTTGTTTCTCTCTGGTTTCCACTGATCAATTACATTACTTAGTGAGGGTGATCAGCTGTAGTCTCGTTTGCCTGTATGCCTTGCAGGAGGATGAACGTGTTCTCTGGGACTACTGGGGTCTGGCGGTTTCCTGGGGGATGGAAAACTGCGGTTGCCGTTCTGGAGGAACAGGGTCTCTGCCTCAGGTAGTGGCAGTGGGGACTGGGGTGGGTGCTGTCTAGGGTGCCGGGGTGTGGGGCTAGGGGTGCTTGTGGTGGTGGGTCCTGTTCCCCGGTCAGGAGGCTGGCCTCCTTTGAGTGGGTCTGGGGCCTGGGTTCCTGGTGCCCGGGTCGCCTGCACCCCTTTGGCTGGCTTGCGGTGTAGTGTGCATCAGTCAAAGCAGGGAAGTCTTGTCTGCGCCTTGGGGACTCATGCGTGCCCACAGGCCCATTGGGTGGGGTGTCCAGGTGAGAGACATGCGTTTCTGGGTGCAGTTTGTCCCAGACCCAGACCAGTGTGTCCATTTACTGTGTGTGTCTGTGCCCGTCTCACCTTGTCCTCTGGGGCTCCCAATCTTTGGTCATGGGTGCCCGATCTAGGACCTCCCTCCTTTTCCTGCTGGGACGTGCACACAGATATCACCGAGATGTGTGACCTCAGGTCCTTGTACTCTTGGGGGCTGCGGATGGCCCGGTTTTGCCAGATCTACCTCTGGCTCCTAGGGGCTGTTATTGAGGCATATTCAAATATATTGAAGTATATTTTGTGACACATGCACTCACACTTAACACTCTCTCTCTCTTTCACACTCACACACACAGACCCCACAAGAAGGTTGTTGATTTATATACCTGTGTGCATTTTGTAGTTTTTGTGTTGCAAGAGCTGTTTGTTTGTTTTTCATTCCAAGTGCAGCAGTTGGCAATAAATTTCTATTTGTTCTCTATCCTTTTATTACCCCCCCCACCCCCCACACACCTTTTCCCGCCTGTCCTGCCTTAGACATTGTCATACTGTATACCACCATAATGTAATCACTGAAATAACACAAATAGAAATGAAGAAATAAACAGATAAACCCCGAACAAGAGGAGCCTGCAAAGAATTTGTAGAGCTGGTCCTGGAAAAGCAAAATGTATTTGGCACAACATTGCATTCAGATCATAATTCTGATTGCAAAAGCTGCCAGACAGGACAGGATTAAAAAAAACCCATAAATGAAAAAAAAAAAAAGAAGAAATGCTTGGATTTTCACCAGATTAGAAATGAGTACATCAGAGGTACTGCTCAGGTGGAGCAGTTTGGAGCCAAAGTTAGAGAGGCTAATATGGTTTGGACATAGTGGATATATTGGACAAAGGATTTTGAAGATAGAGAAGAGCAGCTGAAAGAACAAGAAAAAAAAAGAAAAAGGAGCCTGGAACTAGGCTAGTCTTTGTCTGGTAAACGTATTGTAAAATGGTTGATTTGATCCTTTATCACAGAAAGAATTGGATGCTCACTCAACTGGAAGTATAAGAGACATGAAGCTGAATCAAATATGTTGCCGGCACTGTCCAGTGTATAATTATAAAAAACACAATGAACTCTAATTTTAACCTTTGTTTTCAATAAGTCCTTATGATCATTTCATTTTCTGCTACTGCCCAGTTGGCTGCAATATATGGTGACACTGGTGACAGAAAGAAACCATCAGACTAAATACACAGTTTGATCCAATACATGGATTAATGGAGCGTCACACATTCCCTTCATTTCACTTGGCTACGGCTGCAAACCTGATCAAATGCCTGTCAGGGGGGTTAATCCTGCAGCCTGTCATAACGCAGCAGGTTCACTCTTGACCGTACACACTCCAGTCCCACTGGGACATGCGAACACACAGACTGTACACTGAATTATTTCTAGTGGTTCCACTCGACTCGACACTTCTGTAGGGCCACGGCGCGATGCTACCAAACGTCTAGGCCTTGTGAGAAATAATGTTCATTAGAGACCTCTAAAGTGAGAAACACTCAACGCACAATGCTGTTTGATTGTTTTTTTTAAATACCACACACACCCACCCACCCACACACACCCACACACACACACACACACATCTAGCACATACACATGTTCTGGCAGAGATCTGCCTGTCATCCAGGGATCTTTCAAGAACCTTGAAGTATATTTACTGCACCTCAGAGTTCGGCTCTTCAGAAGCGCCTGTCCTCCTTTTGACTTGCGGCAGGCGTCCTGGAAGTTGCTGATGTGTCCTTGACACTCTCTCTCTGCGTCTGTGGAAGTCAGTTTGAAGAAAGGGGTGTCACTATTTGGTGCAAAAAGTAAAGCGACACACTGAAAGGGTAGAAAAAGCTGCATGCCTTTTGGGCTTCACTGACAACCAAATTTAACATGCTGGGTGTTAAGGAGACGTGCGTGTAGTTGTGTGCATTCGTTTTCTTGTGTAGGTAGACGTTGTGAGATGGAGCATTAAATATGTTTTCTAGAGAAAACCTGTTTGCATGTGAGCCTGAAGGCGTCCTCTGATGCGGGGAAAAGATCAAACACTTAAATTCTCTTTGTTGCACCTGCAGTCTTAAATTCTTCGGGGTGCACATGTGTATTTAATTGATTTGGTTACCGGTGAAGAATACCAAATATGTCTTTCACACAGAAACACAAACACACGGGTATGAGGGTTTGTTTGCGGTTTGTTCACTTACAAAGTGACACTTTTAAAAAAGATGCCTATAATAAAAAAATGTCATAATATACATAATTTTATATAATTTAATGCAGTACTAAATAATCTAATGTTTATGCAGAATTGACACAAGTCACATAGCAAACCTCGTGGCCTATTATTATAGGATATACAGTTATGTGAAGGCTTTCACTGGACCCTTGTGAAAAACTTAACATACCTTTACAGCTTGCTGGACTGCAGCATTCATTAACACCACCTTCTAGAGTGGATATTCACCACATCGTCAGACCTTTAAACACCAATGCCCAACGTGCGGCTCGAACTATCGGACTAAGAGTCTCATGCTGCGCTATCTAGGCTTGATGTATGGAAACTCGAATGACTCGAATCACCAAAGAGCTACATCTCAGACTCAACAGGCCTCGTGTATACAGTACCAGGCATACCTTTCCAAAAAGGATGCCAGTTGAAAGCATCTTCTCTTTAACCTCCTAGGACCTGCTGTCCACATATGTGGACATCCCATTTTGGGTTATTTAGACCAAAATACTCAATTTTGCTCTACATGGGCCTGATATCCACTTATGAGGACATTATACTGCTACTGTTCTATCAAAATTTTAAATGAATATCCTCATATGTGGCTCTCATTTTTCTTAAAAAATAAGGTAAAAAAAAATCTGGTAATTCTTTGTTTTTACATTCATCGGGCCCCAATATGCCCAAATATCAAAGAGAAATTAAAAATCCATGTCGTGGAAGAGTTCGGGTCTTAGGAGGTTAAAAAGAACATGGCACTAGAGCTTAGGTGTGCAAACATACATCCTGAACAAGATTTATGGAACAATGTGCACCTTGAAGCAACTGTTGCTTTGGCGCTATATTAATAAAATGGAATTTAACTGAACTGAATTGAATCAATGTGATTTGGACACCAGTAGAGATGTCTGGGGAAAACCAACACACCATATCAGCACTAAACCCTCATACCAACTGTCAAGCACGGTGGTGGACAATTGATCATCTATGTTTGTGTTACAGCCACAGGACCTGGGTACCTTGTGGCCATTGTGTTGACCATGAACTCCTCTGTATACCAAAGTTTTCTCTTCAAATATGAAACCTTGTGTCTGACAGATAAAGCTTGGTTGAAACTGGGTCTTGCAAAAGGGCAATGATCCGAGGCATAGCAGAATTTGCAGAATGGGCAAAACAAAAACAGGACCCTCAGTTCACGCAGAAGATTTTGTTCAGTGATGAGGCAAACTTTTATGTGAATGGTGAAGTTAACAAACAAAATCACCGCTATTGGTCTGACATTAACCCACATTGGATGGATCCCTCCAAGACTGTTGGAACAACAAAAGTGATGGTTTGGTGTGGTATATGGGGTACAACGATAGTGGGTCCATTCTTCATCAATGGAAACCTCAAGGACACTGGATATTTGAAATTGCTACATG